GGGGCAGGTAAGTTCAAGAGGGATGGAAAAGCCCTGAGGAATTCTGTTCTCATCTATGTGGGAAGGGATTCGCCTGCATTAACGATGCTTTTCACATCCACAGCTCCATACCCTCTCCCTTTTGGTACATCTCTCTCTCACAGGTTGAGATCTTGCCCGATCCTTTTCTGATTCAAGGGTTTTTTTTCAAGCAGGGGCTGCCCCAAGGTACATCTGCACCTACTACGATGTCGTCGAGTACCTGAACGTTTCCTCTCACAGCAAGCTGCACGCGCACATCCTGCCCAAGATGAACCTGAAGGAGCCTCTGGAAGTGAAGATGGATTTTATGCTGATGGCGATTCTCTCTGTGGTAAGGACCCAAAACTCTCGTTGAGTGTTTATAACAGCAAGCGGGGTGATTGCTAGGTTGGGGTCTGAGTCTTCTGCCAGGCAGGGCTGGGCCAGCCAGGCCACAGGGATGAGAATCAGCCCCTTCCGCTTCTTCAGCTTTCTGCTGTTTAAAAGCATTTTTGGAAGATCCGGGGTATTTTCTCCCACCTGCTTCCAGGAAAAAGCCCAGAGGCGGGCACAGACAAAGAACCCGCTTTATACCCGGCTCTAGCAGCAACCGTGCGGCACGCCTGAACTGAGCAACGCGGCTGCAGGGCACTGGCATGTGAATATTAACAATAACCTTTCTGCTTTTCAAACCATTGGCTCGCATGCTCCCTCTTCTCTTTACCAGTAGGACCGAGACCCTTGAGCTCTCCTCCTGAGCTGAGTTTCTGCAACCTGTGCTGTTCAATGCAAGAACAACAGGGGAGAGCTGCTGGGCTCTGCACTGGATGTACCTCAGAAAATCAGCTAAATATCTTCCCTTTTGCTTCTCCAGGCCGAAAAGCTCCAGACAGTCACTTTTTACTTCGTTTTGAACCTGGTAGGTCCCTCAAGAGCTTTTCTCCTGTCATGCCCAGCATGATGGCTGTTGCCAAGCCCGGTGCTCATTCATCTTCTGCAACTTCTTCCCCCAGGAGTGGAAAAACACTTTGGCAACTTGGGACCCGCAGGATTTCTGTAACATTTCCAAAGTCATTCTGCCCGCGGACACGTATTGGTCTCCCCCAGTCTTCATTTTAGAGCGGTAGGTTCCCCTTTCATTTTTATTCATTGGCTTAACAGAACGCAATGGATGCGAACTCTTGGTACTGTTGTAGGAAAGGGGATAAAATCAGATAGTTAAAAGATGTTTGCCTGAGTTATCTGTAACCCAGAAGATTAATGGGTACCAGAGTTTATACGAAGCAGTTTGTGGCTCTGTAATACCGTAGCATCTCCAGAAGTGTCTCATCTGGGCTGTAGTTAAAGCTGAGGGAGCAGCAGGGACCAGCAATGCCCCTCAGCAGCTCGTTGTACGCCAGAGGACAGACCACTGTGGGCCTGACAGAGGGACGGGCACCGCTGCCGGCTCTTTGGCTGGGGGGGAAGAGGGGGAAGGCAGAGCCCGTAATAAGCCCCTGTGCCAGCTGAGAGCGGCAAGCAGAGGGGAGAGAGGAAGGAGCTTCCTTAGGAGGGTGCAAAACCTTAGCCCAGAGGCACCCACCAGCCCTTCTTCAAGCCCCAGGTTTCCTCTCCTCATTGCTACCTCCCATGGCTGGGTGACAGCCCAGAGCCCCCCAGAAGGGTGCTTACAGCCCAGGCTGTTGTGGGACTGAGGAGCACCGCAGCGTCTTGGAGCTCGGTCGCCCTCCGCTTCTGTTTCCTCCAGAGTGAACGGACAAAACTCGAACTTGGATTACATGACCATCATGCACAACGGCAGCTTCAACTCCACCCAGCCCTTCCAGGTTACCTTAACGTGCAGCTTGGTGATCTTCAAGTTCCCCTTTGACACCCAGATGTGCAACGTGAGCATAGCTTCCTATCTCCACCCAGGTACAGCGGCAAGCTGAGTTTCACCACAGCCGGGCTGCATTTGTGGGTGGAGGAACAGATGGGATGGACCCTGGCCCGCTCCTGGGTTCCCTTGGCAGCACCACATGCTCACACTGGGTTAGCGGGGTTGAGGTCATGTAACACCAGGGAAAATGAGCTAAAACACTGTCATTCTGTTTTGGCACGTTTCCCAGCAACATCTCTGGAAGCATCTGGATGTTCTGTGGCGAGTCCCCACCCTGGGACTGATCTCTAAGAGGCACTAGCAGGCTTCCTGCAACAAGGCTACTCGTTCTCACATGATTTTGCAGAACTGGTCTTTAAACATGCCTGAAAGCTATGGAAAAGAGGAAATTAAGCACAGTTTCAGGCATTCAAACCCCTCAGAGTTCACCCCAATAGGAAGGGTTGAAAAATAAGCAGAGGTGACACGCAACCGTCCATTTCCAATCTTGCAAAGGACAACTGTCCTAATCCACCAGAGATTTCCCCTCTGATCCACATTCCTAGAGGTCCAGCCAAGCCTCTTCGCTGGAGTCCTCTTTCATTTCTCCCCAATGGGCTAAGAAACCCCAGCAGTGCAAGAAACATTGCCTTTGCCCATCTGCACACTCCCTTGGTTGGGAGGGAAAGGCAGAGGAATAACTGACCTCTAATAATTAAATACTTAAATTCTGCAACTTCTCTCCTCCTCTCCCTCCTGCCCAAGCAGTAACAGACCTTGTCCTAAAGGTGAGACGGACACCAGCTGAGATGATGAAAGACAGCCAGAGTTACTTCCTCACCGATGGGGAATGGAAGTTCACCAACATGAGCATCATGGAATACACAGAAGAGATAGATGACGAAGGTTTTTCTCTGGTCACCTATGTGGTACGGCAGCACTTTCATATTATATTGCACTGATCTGCCACAAAAAAATAAAGTATGAAACAAGATCATTTTCTGCATTAGGGAACAAGCATTCACCCAACACAGTGAAGTTTTCTCCTGCTCACCTAAATTTTGTCCACTTTCTTCAACAGATTTCCATGGAGAGACGACCCATGCTGTATATTTTGAACCTGATCCTCCCAACGTGTGCCCTGTACCTGCTGGATCTGGCTGTGTTATTTGGACCCAGCTCTCTCGAGGAGAAAATCAATTTCCAGATTGCCATCATCCTCGGCAGCTCCATGTTGGCTGTGATTCTCAACAACATCCTTCCAACTTCCTCCAACAAACCACCCATAATAGGTACCCATCTTTATTGAGTAAAAACTGATTTTTACACAGGTACCAACTCTAAGGAAGGTCTTCGGGCATTTACGGACATGCTCACGAACACTGAATTC